ACCTAGAGTAAATACCAAAACCAGGAAAATAATTTAGATCTTGGCTGACAATGCTCTCTCCAAGAGCTAAAGACTATTTAATAAATCCCTCCCCAACACCAGGCATGAAAAACCCTCTTTTGAGTTGTTGTCCAAGAGACGTTCCAAATATTCAGCCTATTGCTACTGTTCTTGGTTGCCCCAAAGAGGCAGAAGATGATTCCCTGTTGCTGGAGATGGTGCATTTCAGACACAGAGCCAGAGGTCCCTAAACTGGAACTGAACTGAGGACTAGCTTTCATGGTACTAGAAAGCATCATACAAGCTTCCCAAAGGAAGAAAACAACCAATACACCTTCTTAGCTATGATGTCTGTGAGCCACAATAACAATCAGCAAGGTCAAATATCCCTAGGGGTGTGGTAGTGGCATGCTTATTTTTCTGGTAATCAACAACTCTCAAATTGTACTCAAGACATGATCAACAAGAGGGAAACCATGCCTGGTGCTGAAAACCTAGTTAACCACTCAAGGTTGGTGAAGTCATGGATCTTGGAGGGGAACCTACTACCACCACTTTACTAAACCAGCATATTCCCTAATTATACCCACCAATAAGTATTGTCCTCACCCTTCATCAAGAAAACTTTGCAGGAGACAGGGCAATCACAGAAAACCACAACCAATCAAAATGTAGAGTTGTGGAGCCCAGTCCCAGTAGATACATCTACAAAAAACTTCTTCACCTAAGGCTCAGAGAACATTTTAGAAGAGGAGGTAGAAAGATTATAAGAGCCAGAGGATCACAGAGTTTGCTGTGAGATTGTGTTTCCTAAGAATACAGAAGTTACACCCATAAAGTCTCACTAACATATCTGCCTAAACATGAACTGAAGAAGGATGACAACAACAATATATATGCCAAAGTGGATGTGGGGGAAAGCCCAGGAGGCCTCAACCTTACAGACAATTAAGAATACTGATATTGGTGGAAATAGTCTTCCTCAGGGAAGAACATCTTAATTCGTTATCCAATACAGAATGATGAACCTTAAAAACATACGTTGGAGTAACATTGTACAGACTGACAAAGTTATATTTAGAAACATATATGTATATCTATATTTATATATGTATGTAAGAACACTAATGAAAAACAGGACATGAATTTGGAAGAGTTTGGAAGAGAGTACTGAGGGGTATATGGGAGGGTTCAGTGGGAGGAAAGAGAAGGGGGAAGTGATATATTATAATGTGAAAAACAAAAATTGTAAAAGAAAAAAAAAGAAAGGTTTATCTCTTATTTTTTGGAGATCCAAAAGTATCACAATGGCACCTGCTCAACTCTATTAAAGGCCTAATTTGCTACGTCATCTGACAGGACATGTGGATGAGATAAAAATTACATCTTGAAACAGGAAGTAAAAAAAAAAAATTAAAAAAAAACCAAAAAACCAAACCAAACTGAAACAACTTTTACTGCCATCCAGAACTCACATTCATGCTTTTACAATGTGTTCTCCTCAGAATTTACTCCATGAGAAGGATGTTTACCTCTGGTGAAGTCCTCCCAGTATTTAAGGACCTCCTACTAGGACTTACCACTGGAAGATTTACTTACCATTTCTCAGCTTTGGGGAACCAAGCCTCCAACCTTTTAGGGAAGGATAAACAACATCTAAAGTTTAGCAGCCACTAACAGCATAATATCCATAAGGTCTCAAATACCAAGTGCTCAGTGATATGTGTAGGTCCTTAGTGGCTATTCCTCAAAAAAAAAAAAAAATTACCCCACCATTATAGAGAACAGCCCAGATGGCAGATGGAGAGACCAACACTTGGAGGGGACTTGGAAATATTCAGTAACATGTTTGAGGTTGCAGAGCAGAGTAGCCATTTGAGTCCAATTCTTTGGCTGCATTGTCCAGTCCCCTCCAGTAAAATACACTTTACTATCTTTACCTTCATGTATGTGTCCAGAATAGGATGAGGAAGAGGGAATTGGAAGCCATTGTAAATGGGTCTAGTCAAAGAGTCTAGTAACTTGATGTGAAAAATCCTGTAATATTAGTTAATCACATTAATCTATACAAAAATGATAAATAGAAACCTACTGATATTTTGGTGGGCCTCAGGTTATAAACGGAGAGGTCTATTTAGATGAAGATCTAAATCTAAACGATGAGGTCTAGGACAATGTGTCCACATTACGCTGTAGATTCAGACAAACCTCAAATTTCAGCATGCATCTGACTTGCCTGTCTAGGTGTCACCTTCAGAACATCTGGAGTCACCATGTATGAGGTAGTACTTAAGAATTTACTACTAACAACTTCCCCAGTAATCTTGATGCTATTGGTCCACACTAAGAAGGACCACAGCACCCCCAAGTCTCATCTGTGTCCTCTTTTTCCACGATTCCAAGGAACTATGAATACCATAAAACTTGCTCCAACCCAGATAGTCTAGCTTTGGGAGTAATATTCCTTGTGGACTAGCACTCTGGACTGTATAAATAATCACAAATCTGGAGTGTAAGAACTCTGCTGAGGCAGAGTCACTTTTGTTATCTGCCCCTTTTCCTATCCCAATACCAAGCAGGTAGCCAGCCTATTCCCTGGCTAAGCCTCATGAAATTTTTATGTTGTGACTAATCTATACTGCTCCAGAACCATAATCACCTGGGCAAGCTTAGGTGTAGCAAAGTGTTGAGGGTGTTGTTTAATTGGAATCTTTCATGCACAAGGATCTGGGTGACAGTTCTCTGTTTCACATAAACCTGGTGGGCCACATATACAATCCAGGCACTCCAGGAGGTGGAGGCAAGAGGATCTGCGAGATAGTTAGTTAGGTAGTAAGTTCAAGACCAGTCTGGGCTGCAAAGACAGTCAGATGGACTAACTGATGGGAGAAAAGAGAGAAGGTGAGTGGTGGAGAGAGAGAGGGGGGAGGAGGAAGGGGGAGGAAGAAAGAAAAGAAAACACAGCTGGGATACAGAGTTAATAAAATGTAACTAATAAAAAAGAAAGAGAAAGAAAGGAAGAAAAAAAGAAAAGAAAGAAAGAAAGAAAAAAGAAGGAAAGACAAATTATGTATGGGAGTATAGGGACAAAGCCTTGGAGGGCAGAAAAGCAAAAGAAATTTCCACTTATAATATATTAGGGAACCATAGGGAGCCTCAGGAAAATGACTTCTTGTTCCACGAGGGATGTTGGACTTCCAGATAGAAGAGCAGAAACATCCACTTCACTCTCCTAGCTCTCCTGAGGAACTGCAGATATGTCCACTTTCAAGGGCCCATGCAGTATCAGACAGTGAGTGTAGCTGGGAAAATTACGATGGATTAAAGGACCCACAAAGGTGCTTCCAATTCTTGGTAATCATCACAAAGGTGCAGCATTCCAATAGGGAATTAGACTGAGCTTTACCTCATTGGGATAGAAGGAAAGTAAGGATTAGAGCTGCCCACTCTGAACAAATCTCTGAAATACAAACTATCTAGAAGACACAGCATGCAAAATGTCCTCTCCATTACTAATTAAAAGAAAACTTCTGAGAAAAGTGGACTGTGGTTAGCTGGGCAGAATCCTTCTGGGAATTCAGGGATACTTATAGTTCAAACTGAAGTTGGATCTAACCCCTCATGCCCAGCTCCACCCTGGTTCCTCCATGCCTTGCAGTTGCCACTCCTCATTTGTCTAACTTGAGACCCAGAGCAGTAGAAAGACTGCAAATTCCACACCTACTGGAAGAGGAGTCTGGAAGAGTGACTCTCCATATATTAGCTCTACTTAAAACCCAATTAATCCCCCCAAGGAAGCATCACTTACACAGAGAGCTGTGGTGACTCTGACGTTCTTCATTTATTTCTGACAGGAAAGGGGCTTGGGCACGGGGGAAGTTCAGGGTTGAAGGCTAGAGAGTGTAGCCAACACTCCCCTAAATACTTCAAGACAACACAGAGTAGCCAACACTCCCCTAAATACTTTCTTCAAGACAACCAGCTAGGCTGGTGGGAAGCCAGGAAAACACCTATGACCCTTAAGAGAAGAAATGATTGGAGGATCAGAAAAGCTCTGCTTGCATTTTCATGAGAACATATTCCTGGTTTTTGCCACTGTTCATTTGTCTAACTTGAGACTAAAGAAGAGGAACAGTTTGATCATGTAAATCCATCTATGAAGATCTCTTTCAGTTGCCCCTAAAACTAGCTGAAAAAAAAAATGGATTCGGGTATTCTTTCTATTGTTTTGTACCCAGAACCACACTATATGCAAGACAGAGAAAACACTTCTGGTCTAATTTGTATTTCAAATTATACTTCTTGTCATCTAGCTAAACTAACCAAAAAGATTATTATGTATACCAGTTAATAGAGCATATAGTCCCAACCACTAGTAAACCCTAAGCAATCAATAATTGTTTTATGAATAGTATGAAACTTCTCTAATTTGCTGTTAATACTATAGCTCTCTAAATTATTCAGTTATCAATTTAATCCCTTGATAAAGGGGGAAATTAAAATTTAACAAGACAATTTTGTTCTTCAGTGTTCCCTAAACAAGTGTCTTAATGTTGCCACTCTAAATTAGAGACAAGGATCTTGATCAATAGAGTTTTCAATAGAGTTTGTGCAAAGGTTACGTTTCATTCAGGACAAAGGACATCATGATTCACCTGTGTCTGAAATTATGTTCTCTACTATCATCTATCCAACCTTACCCAAAGGGATTATAATGTGCATACTGGGTAATGCAATTTTAGTTTCTATCACATGTCAATTTATCAAAAACTATTGGTGGACGATTGAATGAAATTCAACAAACTTCTGATGTTCTCTAAAATTTTATATTGCTCTTTGAATCCCTTTTAACTCTGCAGTGTCAATAGATTAAGTGCTAACAAAATCTCTCATCAATTCCTCCACTTGTGTGTGTGTGTGTGTGTGTGTGTGTGTGTAACAGCAGCTAGCTGAGGTCTTACTGAGGCGGAGGCTGCTGCTGAAGGGCATTTCACGAAGAGTCACACAGTGGAAGCAGGGAATTCTTCAGCCTCATGCAGAGATTCTAGAGCTTAGAGACACAAAGAATAGGACCTGTGAATGTTGTAAAAACAAATTAAAGAAACACTACAGTAAAGCAATAGCATTCTCAAGGAAAAGGCAATGTACCCAGAACACACTATGCATAGCTATGCCCTGCAGAAGATCTGCTGTTATGCAAGAAGGGATTTAAGGAGAGTTACAGAAAAAGAGAAGAGAATGTTCTATAACATCAGCTTCTTTAGACTGGTAACTGAATGTATAGCCCTTGACTACTGTGTGCCTGTCAATGTACCTGCAACTGGAAATGTTTTCCTTTTAGACATAAATTTGATATATTTAGTATATCCTTCTCAAAACCAATACAAATTATATACACACACAATTAAATCTGCAGAAAGAGATCCATACAGGCTAGTAGATGAACTATGCTAAAGAGGGTAACTGCAGATTAAAGATATAGCTCAGTGGTAAAGCCATGAGTTCCCTAGCAAATAAAAAAACAAAACAAAACAAAAACAAAAACAAAACAAAAACAAAAAAAAACAAAAAAAAAACAAAACCATGGGTTATTGCTTGGTAGTAGAATAGTGAAAAGTTTTACTTGATGAGTTTTCATATTTTCTATGATATAAACAAAAGAAAAAAACATATATTAGGAAAGGGGCCCCAGGAAATAATATCTCTTTGGAACATACCTCCATTATTATTTTCTCCCTCCCTAAATTCAGTGAGGAGCCTGTTTTGGGTCAACGGTTCCCAGTTCCCCTGGTTATATCTCTATTAGTTTTTGTCCATGAATTTGGTCCCTCAGGCTCCAGCACAGGGATCCCACTGCAGTCAACTGCAGACAATGGAGCTACTGGATGAAGCTCCTCCTTCCCCTTCTTGAGTTCTCTGGATGGTGGAAGGAATGCCATTGGGAATGATGCAAAGAACACTGGGAGAGGGGCTGTGAGGACTAGGCTCAAGGACTAGAGAGTGGATCTTGGCATACCTGTTATAGATGCCGTCTGTTCTTTCTTCGGGGACACTGCATACTGCCCATCCTGCAAGCCTGAGTCAAGAGCTTCTGCATGTTTTTTGAAAAGTAGAGGCCATGGCGGAGTACCTGGATAATCAGCATCTTGTGATTCAGCAAGGAGTTGCTGTGAGAGCTCAAACTCAATTAGTTTCCTGTGCAACATATCACGCTCTTGTAGCACTTGCTTCAGGTTGTCTCTTGCACTGCGAAGCTCAGAGACCACTTCATCACGTTCATCACGCAGCCTTTGGAGGTCTGTGGCCAAAGTCCATGAGGCTGCCTCATGGTCTTTTACCTGACCTTGCAGCTGTTGAACTCGTCGTGTCTGCCTTTCTCGTTGCCTGGTAGCCACCCTCACTCCCAGGGCCAGAGCACTCCAGGCGCATGCCCGCTTAATTGTGCGCGGTACTTGGGCATCAACCACGATAGACTTCAGGCCATCTTCGATATCCTTCCAGGGCCGTGAACGAAAGGTCAGGTAGAAGCCAGGACCACCGCCATTCTTCAGTACCTCTTCATTGATGAACAGAACCACTTCGCAGTGACGGAAACCACTCTTGGGGTCCCTAAAGTCCACAGCCATAGCTGAACCTGCTACAAGAAATGCGCTGCAAGGAGCTCACTGTCTCTTAGGTGTCGTCTCCAGTCCTGGCTTTTAATTCCTACCTCCTTCCCTCCCCCTCCACACCTAGACTGAAACCCTGAAAGCCATCAGGCCACTCACACCAACTGCTCCCACGCAAGGGATTAACACGTCAGGGACGTCATAAACATGGGCTGTGAGACCTGCAGCACAACCTGCTAGGACCAAAATGCAGTGACAGATAATTCTGGCTCATCCGGTAAGTTGGATGTCTGCTCTCTTTTTTTGGTAAATAATTATAATTTATTCACTTTATATCCTGATCATAGCCAGCCCCCTCCTCTCTTTCTTCTCCCACCCCCCTCCCCTTCCCTCTCTCCCCCTCTCCTATTCCTCAGAAAAGAGGAGTCCCACCTACCAACCCACCCCAGCACATTGAATCACATCAGGGTTGAGTGCATCCTCTTCCACTGTAGCCTGGAGGGGTAGCCCCTCCAGGAGTGTCTGCTCTTTAAGGTAGGCCTTGTACTACAACTAATTGTTCTGGGAACTGCAGTGAGTCCATAATTTCCTGAGAGTTTCTGAACAGTAACACCCTATCTGGCATGGATTTTTTTTTCTTTTTCCCTTTCTCCCTTCCTGTCTTGCTCTTCTTTCTTTTTTCCTCTCCTCCCTCTCTCCTTCCTTCCTTCTTCCTTCTTCTTCGCTTCCCCTTCTTTCTTTCCATCTCTCTCCCTCCCTTTTTTGTTTTCATTTTTTTGAGACAGGGCTTCTCTGTGTAGACCTAGCTGGCCTCGAACTCAAAGATCCCACCTGCCTCTGCCTCCCAAGTGTTGGGATTAAAGGCATGTGCCACCACACCGGGCCACTCTCCTCCCTTTTAAAAGGCTGAATCTCCCTGTATAGCCCATTTTCAAGGAAATAGGTTGATTTGGAAACCATTACCATAAAGCCAGAAAGCAAATATCATAGGTCTCCTCTCATATGGAACTTAGATTTAAAGTAATATATAGGTGTGTGTGTGTGTGTGTGTGTGTGTGTGTGTGTGTGTGTGTGTAGGAAACTACAAGTGGTCTTAAGCAGAAATGTGAACCATTTGAAAAGGGGAGGAAAAGCAGAGACAAAGAGAAGAAAGGGCTGGGAAGGAAGATGGGAAAAGAGATGCATCAGAACAAGTCATGATAACTATGTGGGAAGAGGAAGGAGACAAGAGGTAGTGTCTGCGTATATGAGAACTGACTATAACGAACCAAAAAAAAAATATATATATAATATATAATATATAATATATAATATATAATATATAATATATAATATATAATATATAATATATAATATATAATAGATAATAGATAATAGATAATAGTTAATAGATAATAGATAGATAATAGAAAATAGATAAGATAATATATAATATATAATATATAATATATAATATATAATATATAATATATAATATATAATAATATATATTATATGATAATATATAATATATAATATAATGTATAATATAATAATATAATATATAATACATAATATATAATAATATATCATATATCATATACAATAATATATAATATATAACATACAATAATATATAATATATAATAATTTAAATATATAATATATAATTATATAATATATAAAACATGTACTACATAAAATATACAATTTATAATACATAATAATATATAATATATGTATCATATATCAATCATATATAAAAATATATGATAATATATAATATATATTTATAATATATAGTATACTATATATTATATATATATAGTATATATTATATAAGCTGAAGATGGGGTGTTTGGGAGAAAGTTTGGTGTATATGAGGTCATGAATGTGAGATTCTCTTGATGGTAATCAGTGCCTTTTTGAGAAGAAAAGAAAAACAGGAAACTTCCTTCCCCTATTGGAGAAATGGGAGAAATGAATGTCTTTTTGGATAAGGAAAGTCATTTTGCCTCTAGCATACTCCTGTGATGGTTTTATGTTTTCTCTTTTAAAGTGGAGTTTGTGATGAAAATGTTCTCTTTACAAATTTTTTTTGAAGTGGAGAATATATTTGTTACTTTCTATGTTTCCTTTCTATAGAAAAAACCAGTTTAGGCCATATAAGCATGACCTGGTATCAGCATTTACTTGGCAGTGGTTGTTGTGAGTTGCAGTAAGTCTAGGAAGAAACAAAACATGCTTACAATCTCAGTTCCAAGCATTGGAAAGGATTAGCTTGGTCTTCTTGTGGGGCTCCTAACAGTGGGGTTTGGAGTGTCTCTGACTCTTTTGCCTTCTCTTAGAACCTGTTTCCTCCTACTGGGTTGCCTCATCCAGCCTTGATATGAGGGGTTTGTGGCTAGTTTTATTGAATATTGTTATGTGGTGTTGAGTTGATATATCACTGGGAGGCCTGCTCCTTTTTAAAGGGAAACTGGAGCAGTGGGAGTGGTAATGTGGTGAGGAACTGGGAGGAGTGGAGGGAGGGGAGGCTGAGGTCAGGCTCTATTGTATGAGAAAAAAATACTGAAAAAAAAACCCCTATTGAGTCCAATTAGTGTTGCCCACAAGCATATGAGTTTAGAAGGGCTGTCCATATATGTACAAGTTACCAGAAGCGTCGTTCCTGAAGGAAAACTGATCTTTCTCTCCCCTGACAGCCATGGACTTCCTGTAGCTTCTCAAGTAGGAGTGAGAACTTATGACTCCCTTATCATCACGTTCTTCTTCAAGTTTGTGTAGACAGCTATAGCTGTTCATGAGCAAGCCTTAAATTCAGCTAGTCATATGTAGGCTATCCATGCTCAAGATATTCATGCCACTATTGTACGAATGGATATATCTTTCCAGGTGAATTTTTACTGTAATTCACAGGATTCACACTCTTATCCGGCTGTAACTTTTCTCTCCTAGATGCCTGTGTAGCACGTTGTGGCATTCTGAAAGCTAACCAGCAGGAAGGAGGCTTTTAGTTTAGTATCAGACTGTTTATTCCAAGTTCTGTGACCAAAGTGTGTGGTGTCTTCACCAATAGGGACTTACTGCAACCAAGTACAATGGCAACAATCTGTATTGGAGCTCTCTCTCTCTCTCTCTCTGTGATTATCTATCTATCATCTATCTATCTATCTATCTATCTATCTATCTATCTATCTATCTATC